TGTGTGTGTGTGTGTGTGTGTGTTTTTTGTTTGTGTGTGTGTGTTTTTAGGTTGTGTGTGTGTATTCAAATATATCCATATCTGCCAACGGTACATCGCTATCAATCCACCTCATCAAATTAGCTAGTCTAAATATTATTGGTAAGTGAGAAATGAAAAAATGTAAGCCGAGGTGTTGTGTCCACTTCAGAATTTATCATTAACGTTAATGACCGACCGTCTTATTATCAGCAAATGATAGCTGGCTAATTGTAAATAATAAAATTAATTTACTTTCGATTTTAGGAAATAATTTAAATTAAATAGAACCTTTCTTGACCTCTCTGACACTCACATCAGCCACGATGTGAGATAGATTAGTGGTACCGAACTGAACCAATGACCTTATGACCCTATGAACCTCTAATGATCTATGCTGATCTATTAAATGACCCAGAGCTTTTTTATTCCTGAAAAGTAGTAAATATCAGTCAACACCATCCAGCTATGTAGCATTTGTCTAATGATCCTATCATCAACTTCTTTGATGGAATAAAGTTCCAACAAAATTTATTAAGATGAAAAATTCCAAAATGACTTTTTTTCAAATTGCTGGGGATGGATTGAGCTATAAATTAATACAGACAATCAAAGTCCAATTTAATCGGATTACTGTTCTACTGTGAACATCCTACTGTAAAACAATCAAGAGTCAGTTTGCAGTTGATCCGCATATTGATTTGTTGTGACAGCAGTGATCCTGCGTGCACATCTCGTGTAAATGGATGAGTGAATGAATGAATGAATCAGCACAGGGATGTTTCCTGAACTTTTTCCTTCTTGCAGCAGTAGCGAAAGTAGCAGCGGCGACAAACACTTGAAGGTTATTTCGTTGCTGTGGTTCCCTCGAGTCACATTTGGTTCATTCACCTGTTAATAGGCTGACCTTTTTACGCTTTTTTTTCTATTTCATGATGATGATGATGGTGGTGATGGCGATGATGATGATGATAATGGTGATAGTGATGATGATGGTGATAGTGATGATGATGGAGAAGATAGTGATGGCGATGATGATGATGATGGGAGTGAAGAAGATGAGGAGGATGTTGGCTGTGGTAATGAACTGTTTACATATGCTAAGATGATGTACATGGTGTCATTTGATCTGGCAGTTTTTGTTGTATGTCGTCTGTTATCGTGTGTGTGTGTGTTTTAATATATCTTATGTTGTATATTTGGAGTGAGATTGTTCTTTTTGTATGAATGGAATGGGGTTTCCCCCTCCTCCCCTCCCCCCCCCCGTAAACTTTAAATGATTTATATAAAAACTTGTAACTAAGGCTTGGCAGTAAGTTTTTAGTTAAATATTTCTTGTAATAATGATGTAACGTGAATTTTCCTGTTAGTTTGAATTTGTTATATTTCTATTTTTTTAATTAATTACTTAACGATGTGTTAATTTTTGTTGATAGTGTAACTTGTTGATAGTGTAACTTGACACATATGTTGATAATGTTTCTTTATGTATTTAGTTTCTTCATTCTCTCAAGCCTGTTATTCGTATAGACGTTTTTGGAATATCTTCTCACACACACACTCACACACAC